TTGTGAGAGACTTTCCTTGGTTGCATGTGTTTGTATGATTATGAGTTTAGTTTGAGTATCTTCTGATAAGTAGTTGTTTTAGATGCTTGTCATGTGCTGGAGTTATAAGAGTTAGTTCAATTTCTGCTTTTCATAGTTAAGTTTATTTGCAAATTTGGCTTTGTATAAGTTTTGGAAAAGCACTTTCGTTAGGGAAAGTGCTACCCAAATTTCTACAAATTCAATGAGTTAGTCTATTTTTTGTCCTTACGAATTTAGACTTTGTCCGAGTTTCATATTTGACTTAATAAAGATCTGATAAGCCAACCTTACTAGAGTAAGTGCTGCCCAAATTTTTATTAAATCAGGGAGTAAGACAAATTTTGACATTGTGAAGTCATAATTATTTTTTAAATTCATATTTAACTTTGTACAAAATTTAGGAAGATATTTTTGTTGGAGGGAGTGATGCAAAAAAATATATAAATTTTAAGAGTTAGTTGAATTTTATCTTAGTGGAGTTCAAGTTATGTCTTTGAGTTCACATCCAACTTAATATAAATTTGAAAAACCTATTTTTATAAGGGAAGTGTTGCGCAAAGTCTTACTAAACCAAAGAGTTCGACGAAATTTGACTTTGTAAAGTCAAAAGTCGTTTTTTTATCTGGTATTTAGTTGGATACAAATTATGAAAAAAAAAATTCTCAAGAGGGAGTGTTGTCAAAATATTTATAACTTAAGGAGTTATATGATATCTTATAAAAAAAAACTTTGGCGACCCACCCTGTATAAATGAGATGTTGCCGAAATAATTTATGAATCTCATATATCATTTGGAAATAAATTTGGACTTAGTTTGGTAAAAAGTGGACGTGATATGTGGTATGGGGGTCTATTCTCCATTCACTTAAACATAACTTTTGATATTGGTATGCGCTTGTTTAATTATTTTGATTCGATATCTGATTTATTTCAATCGATCTTACGAGGATTGTCTGCTGTTATCTTTTCATAACAGGTCGGTTTACAATTTAACTTTACAAAACTTCTTCACAAAGGAGTTTTCGTCGCTCCGGCCGAGTGCGCTAGCCGCACCTCGCACCAACCCCTACGACAAAATAGGAGTCACGCAAGAAACAACTTACATCTGCCGAAGGGGCTGTCACCACCCTTGGGCAAACGTATCCCCGTCGAGCTACTGAGCCACGTACGAAAGTTGCTCGAGTGCAATCGTGGAGGTAGCCCAACCGAGGGCGTTTCTCGTACGCTGTAGTATAAAGGGTACGAATGATTGAATGCCTTAATTGAACCAGTACCCAAATCGACACTCTGGGGCTGATCTCCCAAGCACGACTTTACTCCAGTCGACTAGGACGGTTCGTTTAACCACACGACACACTTCACAAAACATAAACAAATCGCAAAAGTAAATCGTACCTAGTCTCTTCGTCATATCTAACCCATAACCTTCCCGCAATAAAAAATAGTTTGTGTCACGCACGATATTCTGTATAAATATCACCGCGACGTAGGCCTTGTCATATCGATTAGCCATGCATGAATACGCCAGCAATCGCATGGATGACGTATTATGTGGTACCCATAATCATGAAACCCTCAATGGTCATGATGGTCGCTTTGGACACTGAAGTGTCGGTTGACACACGTCTTGAGAGTTAGTTTTTTTACGTTAGACAATCGTCAGAACGATTGTGAGACCTACCCTCGTTTGCACACTGCGAAGAGGAGTGGTAGGCAAAATTTGCACCTTCGTGGCGACCAAACACCTCAGACTTTGGAAACAGGGCTCCATCTTCGGGGGCCGAAAAACAGGTAAAGGGGTTTGACTTTGATAGCCGCCACGAACCTCAACGTTCAACTATAAAAATTATAAAAAGCACGAGTAAAAGAGAATCTCATTTTTCCTAATTCAAATTTGTTTAAACCTTATACACGACCATAGTACATTGCACGGGTACACAAAATATAAATATAACGGGGTTAAAAAACATGAGGCGATCACTCTCACAATAACAGTGCGACTCTCTTTGAAATATACACATGATTGCAAACAAGTCAAATTCGGACTTCTACTCACAAAACATACATGTAATTACATCCAAAAATTCCACATTAAGAAACCATCCCCCTGCGGGACGGATGCGCTCCACAGGTGGTACCGTTACTTGTGATCTCGACTGCCTACCGTGATTCTTAGTGAACGAATCCAGGTTAATGGACAGACTGATGATCTATGCAAAATAACAATGTTTGAATAGTTTTGTTTAACTATGATAATAATAGGTATGTGTGAATTGTCTGAGAGTGAGATACACCTATCCGTCTTGATGAGTATAATAACATATTTAATGAACACACTGTTGATCCTAAGATCATAGGTACTTAGGCAACATCCTGCATATATGATGCAACTAAGATTGAGTGAGGCAACATCGATATTGCTAAGAATGTTCATTCTTGAAATCAGACCCATAAGTACCTATTGTGGTCACATGAGTCATTTAACTTGTTATGACAACATCATGGTACACATTCGTTAGGATGTGGTTGCGAATGAGTGAGGGAGCCCCTCCCTTGCCGAGAGTTAAAATCATAGACCTTATGCCTAATTGCTATGTTGGAGGTCGTCAAGGCTTCAAGGAGGGGTAGGCTAAGAGGGTCGGCAATATTACAAGTATGGAATGAAATTCTTGATTTTAAATTTCAAACAGTTGACTAAATTAATTAGCCATGAAAGAATTAAGGTATCTCGCGCAGATAGCTAACGTGTTTTGAGTTAAGCGAATAACAAGGTAGGCAAACGTAGTGGAAGAGGTTACAAATGGTAGTAGAAGGTGAAGGATGGATATGTAGCCTTCCTTGCAAAAGAAGATTTATGATATTAAGTGCAGTCAACATTACGGCGAAGAGACTGAAGCGGATTCTTCCTAAGTTTTTTTCTTTTTTTTCTTTTTTGGTGGGGAGCATCACCTGCTGGAAAACGGGTAAAATGTCCCTGATACAAAACATAATAAAGTTCAGAAAACAAAAAAACTTGACAGAGTATCTGAGAAGAGTCTGCCAACATTGATTATTATTCGAGGTTCGTCAGGGTTGCGTTTTATGCCCCTAAGACATTGAGACATTGAACATTTTTCGTCGTCGTCACCAAACGGTGCGGTGGTTGGAAGGGTGGTGTATTTGTTGGGGGTCCAATTCGTGGGAAATAGGCAGTTTAAGGAAGTGCAAGACCGGTAGCTGCCCGTGGCATTAGGGCTTTGAAATTTCGAATCTGAAACGACGTGGACGTAGGCTCTGTGGTGAGTTAGGGCGGGTTTTTAGGGGGGCCGCGGACTGGAAGGCACAGGGGGGTCCAATCTTGCAATTTTCTAGCGCCAACTTTGGCGATTTTTCGTACGCAGAATAATTGGAGAAAAGATCTGAAAATTTGATATCGGGCAGGCCAGGTCGTGATCTTTCCAGGAAAAATATCAACAAAATAAAGTAAAATCGTTTAGACCATGAAATAAATGCCGCGCCAATTCGTCACTTTTTTTATTTTTGGCACGCGATAACTTGTGGGCCAACGGGAAAAGTACCCCTATTTCAAAGTTTTCTCACGCTCAGAAGAACTCGTAAACAAGTCTGAAAATTTGAGGGTCCGTAGATTTGGTCATGATCTTTTCAGGAAAAATGTTTAAAAAAATTAAACAAATTGTCTCAACCGTGAAATAGTTTATAGCGCAAATTCATCCCATTTTTCATATTCACCACTCTGCCAGTTCTCCACTCTGTGCTACTGGTAGCCCTCATGGACTTGTGCTGTCGGTCCCCTGAATTTCCAACGTCAGGTAGAGTACTGGTTTTAATTCGAAGCCTGTCGTGGTCGAAATCGAAACAGGCCAAAAACAGCGGCGGCCGCTCCCGTTCCCTTTGCGTTCACAAAGTGATAGTCTCTCTGTGTGCGCAAGGAGCATGGTGCCTTATCGATCGAGGCGTTTTGACAAAGTGGCGCCGCGCCTGATTTCTCTCTCTCTCTCTCTCTCTCTCTCTCACACACACACACACACACACACACACACACACACACACACACACACACACACACACACACACACAACAACATCAACAAACTAACCACGGGCTGCGCAACCGTGCCCTCACGGTAAGTCAATTTATTTATAGAGGATTAACTGAGCAGGGTGCTGAAGGGAGTTAAAAAAAAAAAAAAAAGATTTTTTTGTGACCTTTCCAAAAAGAAATAAAATAAAATAAAATAAAATAAAATGAAATAAACCATAGATCGCAGAAGCAATTTGAACCATATTTCATTTTTGCCATTCAACCTCTCTCTCTCTCTCTCTCTCTCTCTCTCTCTTTCTCTCTTTCATCGGTAGCCCCCCCCCTCTCCCTCCTTTTCCCTCTCTCTCTCTCTCTTTCATCGGTAGTGCCCCCCGTCTCCCTCCCTCTCCCTCTCCCTCTCTCTCTGTCTTTCTCTCTCTTGCGCGCGTGCTCAGTCCCATTGCTTTGGCTACCTCCCCGCGTGGGTGCGGTAAACAATTGAACTTGGAAAGCTTCCAGGTGTGTAACTGCTGCAGCTGCCTTAGGGTCGCAAGGACTCGAACCCAGGACTCCTGACTCCCATGCCTTACAGCATGGCTAAAACCATTTTGCCACCCTTGTTCGGAACCAGCGGCTTGAGTGGTTCCTCTACTCTGGGACACTTCGGGTAAAACGGCTTGCATTACCGGGACGGGACAGAGTAACGAGGCTCGACGGCTGAGCGCGGTATTTCCGCATTTGGGCTGCAAGGCCGCAAAATTGGGGAATTGGGAAAAGTGTTCCGCGCCTGGGCTGCCGTTCCGCAGTTCGCTCGCGCGATTGAGAGAGTGCCGACGGGAGGAAGTGCGCCTGAGGGGTGGGTTCGCGCGATTGAGAGCTGTCGACGGGAGGAAGTGCGCCATAGGGGTGGGGTTGCGTATAGGGCGGGCTTCCTCGCCCGTGCGTAGAGCTGGAGCCAAGCTGGAGAGACCACCGGGCGGGGATGAGGAACGGGGAAGACCTGACCTGAACTGACTGTCGGTCAAGCGGAGCAGCAGCAGGAGTGCGTGCGAAGGAGAAATGCGGTGGGTAGTTGTTCAACCTGACCGCGAACGGCGGGTTGGCCTTGTCCTCCACCTCTGCCACCCCTTTGCTTGCCACGTCGACGCTCCCCCACCGCGTGCCCCCGTTCTGTCGTGCGTCTCTGCCTCGTCCACCCGATGCCCGCGTCCGGAAAAAAAAGGGCAGGTGTCCATGCTCAACCGTGGATCCGTCAGCCATGGCGAAAGTGGATGCCAGCCCTGCCATGGAATGTTCATGTCAATGAACCTCAAGATCAGCTCTCAAGGCCCGTCTTTTCTTTTCCTTCTTCCTCCTCCTTTGTCTCTTCGTTGCTTGTTCACTGTTCTTCCAACCTTCCCGGCCCCCCCCCCCGCCCCCGGGTCCTTTGTTCCACTGTCAGTATGATGTGGCCATGTATGCGGCTGTCTGTGGTCTGTGAGCGGATTCCGTGTCAGAATCCCCATTTTGGAATACCCGAATCTCGCTTTAAGTTCACAGATTTAGCTTCACCCCAATCCGCAGCCGCCCATTCCTTTTCTTCCTCAGGGTTCGGCTTGGTTTGTATCACATGTGAAACTGTGGCTGGCGGAGTTATCTGTTGATCGGCAGTTGCGGTGGTAGCGGAAATACATGAAGAGAAAAGGAAAAATAAATGGTTGTGGATCGGTAGAAGACCAACTGATGTGTTGATCAGTGAAGCTCAAAAGAGAGAATAGTCTGACAAGGTCCGCGAGAGATAGCGAAAGACAGGCGCGGAGACATGCATGCAGACACATACACTGCGGCAAACAGACAAGCACACTTGATGAGACTGCGGCAAACAGACAAGCACACTTGATGAGTCTGTCGCGGTCACCCTTTTTTCTGTAGTCGTCTTTACAGTGAATACACACACACACACACACACACA